TTTGACCCGATTGTCGACGACGTCGTTCGAGCGACCCGGGATGCCGAACCAGACTGCGCCAACGCGTCCGGAACGTCGATTTTGCCCGGGGAGGACGCCCATTTTGTCGCGTCGTCGCGCGCGAGTAAATTGTGTTTTAATTTATATATATTAATTAACCCCTTTACCCTACCCTTTTCCTCTTTAATCCCTAACACTCCCCTTCGCTCGAGCTCTGTCTCCCGCAACTCTCCCGTTCGCGTGTCTGGCCCTTTCCCTTTGTCGGTCTCGAGCCGTGCGAGCTCTTCTTTCTCCACGCAAGGGAAGAGTTGACCTCGTCCGTCCTTCCCTGACTTTCCTCTGCAGCCGGCCTTCCTTCTCCCTTGAGCCGTGGGCTTTCTTCTCTCGACAGTTTGACTCTGGGAAGCTTGTTCTCTGGTACACTGAAATGGCATTTTTTCTTGTCCCCTTCCCGATGCTTCCCCCGCTGCCACTGGCTACGCCGCTCGGTCCAAGAGACTTGGGTGGCTTCGCCTTCTGTGAGCAGGGAGCGTTCCTTTTCTCGGTTTGGCCCGATTCGAGCGCCGTGGGTTCAAGGAGGGACCTTCTGCTTCTTCCCCTTTCTTCTCTGCCTATAAGGATAGTTTCATTTGTTTTTTTTGAGGTTGTTGGAAAAGTTTTCAGAGAGGAGAGTAGAAATTTTGGCTGTGAGGAGTTTGAGGGGAGTTTCTGTGAGAGCGTTTCTTTGAGGCGAACTCTTGTGTTGCAGGGCTTTACTTTAGCATTCTTGAGGTATCATTCTTCTCCCCTCTTCTTCGGTGCTCTGTTTCTTTTCAGTTTTCCTCTCTGCCGGGTCTTTGAACATGGCTCTGTTGTAGAATACAGCATGCTAGCTTATTTTATTTGGATATATTTTCTTGAGATATTCACTTCAAGTGCATTTGGAATTGAAAATGTGAGCATGTGTTAAAACTAGACTTGGTTACTTACTTAAACTAGGGAGACTATGACATCCTTATGATTATTGTGGCATGTTTATGTTGGAAATATTTAGGGAGTTAAGGCATGATAAGCATGTTGGGATGAGTATTATGAAACTTTTCACTTATTTTCATTTAGCATGAAATGTTGGAGAGGTTATTTGGCCTTTCATGAATGCTAGGGAGTTCATTTCACTGTTTTATGCATGTTTGGTGCTCGGTTTTGGCTTCCTGTGGCTTTCCCTGGCCTGAAATATATGCTATGAGAAAATTTATTTAACTTGGAAAGTGTTGTAGCTTGTTTTGAGGGCTTGGTTTAGCTCCTCGTGAAATTTCACCCCTGTTCAAATATCTGTTGGAATCGTTGTATGCTTGGAATATTTGGACATGCAGGTTGTTTCTTAACTTTGGATGGCTCGGTTTTTCCTATAGACGGCTGAAACTTTAATTTCTATTAAAGTATGAATGTATACCAATGCTTGGGCCTGTTTTAATCTTGTTGAGCTCGGTTTTGGCTTCTGGTTCTTGTTGAGCTCGGTTTTGGTTGGGTTTGGAAGCTTGGTTTTGGTTTGAAATAGCTAGAACTTTAATTTTTATGAAAGCTTGAAGTTTCATATTGCTGGGCTTAGTTTTAATCTTGTTGGGCTCGGTTTTGGCTTTTGGTTCCTGTTGTGCTCGGTTTTGGCTTGATTTAAAGTCACGGTTCTGGGTTTGAAACGGTTGAATCTTTAATGCTTTATGGCAGAAGCCTGGGGTGTTAACCTTTTGTTAAGGTGTTGAAGTTTTCTTTGCTAGCTTTAAGAAGCTCACTTTGGGCTCTTACTGATTTTTGATTTGTTTAGAGGTGATTGAGATTTTAATTTCTATTAAAACTTGAATTTGTATCAATGTTTGCTTTGTTTGGCCTCTGCTGGGCTCGGTTTGGCTTTGGTTGGGGGTTGTGTTTGCTTTGCTTGGCCTTTGTTGGGCTCGGTTTGGCTTTGGTTATGATTTTTGTTGGCTTTAGCTGAGAGCTCGGTTTGCCTTGCCTTACCCTTACCCGATAGGTGCTTTGGATGTGGTTTGCTGGCTTTAGTTCCTACTGCTACCCGTGAGGCCCATTGGAGTTTCTTGAGTTTAACTTACCCCATCTTGTTGAGTTTGAATCATTTGAATGATTGTAG